AGGTATTTTAGAAATGTGCTATTTTACAGCTCTTGCACTAATGAGTCTTTGTTATATTTAACCACATATTTCATTTGTTTCGCCTAAAAGTAGTTAAATTGTTTGAAAATACTATACAATACAATATGCCAAAAAGATTTGCAAAACGATTCAAACTGTAATACTCAATATGAAGGAGTATATGGGGGTTTTCATTTATAGATTTTGCACTTTGCTTTACTCACTCGTAATCGGTACATTTTGATAAGCAGCTGAGCTATAAGCTGCCACTTAAGTATGAGAAGTAATTGGAAGCAACTCTAACCTGAAAAAGTGATTACACGGACAGACTTTTAGCATCACAAGCTGCAGGGTAGTGTTAAAGAAAGAGGTTTGGAAATAGCTCAATCCCTGGTGCACATTCAGTAACTTTACGTGAACAGTTTTTACCTGTGAGCAGCTCCCTGATCTCCACATCTGTGGTCTTCCGCAGCAGTCGGACCAGAGCCGGTATGCCTCCGCAGTTCTTCAGGGCGATCTTGTTGTCGTCGTTGGCTTTGCCGTACACCAAGTTTCTCAGGGCTCCACAGGCGCTGCGGTGCACGTCCGTCATCCGGTGGTCCAGCAGGTCCACCAGCAGCTGGATCCCACCCTGTCGCCGGATCTGAGGACGGAGGAGGGAGGACGGTATTAGTGCATTTGTTCCAATTTCCCCTTCGATTGAACTACAAATGTTGGTGTTTAAATAATATCAGAAGACAACAGGGCTTGTTACTGTCCACTTGAGAAAATAATTTCACACTTTTGATGCCAGGATTGTAAGAAATTATTTTCTGTTAATATTCATTTCTCGTTTGTCACCACTTGTAAACAAAGTGTGCTGTGATGCGAGATTTATTATTATGCCATCCGCTGCACTTTCTGTCCCATCACCCCTCTAAGTGTCTGCAGCCCTCCCTCCCTGTCTAGACGAAGAGAGAATGTAGGGCAGACTGCTTGCTTTAAAAACAAGACCCATTGTGTCTCTTGTGATCTAGATAAAGCTACATCAGCATGAAGCTTATCACAGATGATTCACTCTGGATGACAAAATCCAGTTGGAAAATTATTATGTAGAGACAAGATGTTAGATATTCATGCAACAAACTTGGTTGAAATTTATTTTTGAAAACAAAGCAATTATAAGTCAATCAAAATACTAATTACAATAAGTAGGATAATTAATGATGTACCTTGATTAAGAAGGAAACAAAAGGTATCATTATGTTGGATTAATTTAAGTTTTGTCTATCCGAAAAATGTTCATCACAAGGTCCAATTGTCCAAGGGATTGTTTTATAATTGCTTATTTTGTGTGGAAAACACAGAAAAAAAGAAAACAATAAGGGCCGTAAAGATGTTTATTAAAACTGTGAAAAGGAAAGTTTTAATATAATAATCAGAATTATGCGAGGTAACTTTTGTTCAGTTTTCTCTTGCCTTAAAGGTCCCCTATTATACAGTTTTTCAATATATTATAGGTCTCAGATATATACGAAACATGTCTGAAGTGTTTAGCTCCAAATACCAAACAGATCATTATAGCATCCCATAATCCCCTCTGTTTCAGCCCTGTTCCAAAAGTGCTGATTCTCTGTCTGTTACTTTAGATGAAAATAAGGAGCCACTCCCCACATCCCTCTGAGGGGTATTTGGTTAAAAATAACACCATGGAGGAGATTCAGGTGATAAGGTGGTGGGGGTTACCTTGGTTGGTTATTGGCTCATGGTTACACAAGCCAAAAAAATCGTTATGACATCATAAAGTGGCCAAAATCTGATCAGCTCATTTTCAGACAGGTTTTTAAATACATGGATCAGGACAA